GGGAGGTGTATGGAGAGATGGAGAGAAGGATCAATGGAGAGATGTATGCAGTGGGTGAGGCAAGAAGTTGCAACAGTCGAGGAGTGCATGAGCAATGGTGATTTCTACAGAAGTGGTGCTCCAATTTAACACTGCTGTGCCCCCCTTACTTGCCATGTACCACCCCGGTATGCACCCCACCTCCCTGCAAAGAGGAAACTCAGTAGCCTCAGTGAACCTCTACGAGCCCACTTCCCCCGCCTTCTTGGCAACGCATCATTTCTCCTGCCAACCTCCCCTCCCCTCGGGCTCCAACACTGCCACTCCCTGACTGCTTGCCCACATCTGGGGCCTTCTGGATCGCATGTAGGCCCCAAATCTCTGTCCCATACGACCACAAAGGCCTAACCTGGACATTAAAACACATTAGCATAATAATATCTGATACACCAATGCAGTTATGCTTGACCTTGCATATCATCACCTAAACTCTTGGACGTCCCGCCAATGTCCCACAGCTCCATGCAGCAAGAATCCAATGATTCGGATTTCAGGGCTCTGTTAGAACACTTTAGAGTTGCATGCCAAAACAGGAGGATGAATTGGAATGTGGGCTAACCGTAGCCAGGCCGGTGCTTCCTTGCCAAACAGAGGCGATGGAAGTTTCTGTTAATGGACGATTGGTGGGTTTGCCGGGCTGCTGTTGCCTTGGTCTCCCGGTCTATTGTTGCAGGGTTGTGTAGTGGGTGATGGGAAAATGGAACTTCGGTCAATGGTAGGCGATGGCCTAAGGCCCCGAGCGTTAAAGACGCACCCGACTCGAGGGAAGTGTGCATTTTGCGCTGCTGCAGGAGCAGGATACGCGGGCACAATACCAGCTGACAAACAGTGGATTCACACAAGGGGACTTTCCCATTTGCTGAGTAGGTGCACGTGTGGAGGGTTGGGTTGGGTTGGGATATTTCAGCGTCCATCCATTGGGTACGTGAAGTGGTACATGACTAGATAGGTACGTGAGTCGCTGGGCAGGCAGGTATTTTCGTTAGGTAGGAAGTTAGGTAGGCAGCTAGGTTGTTGCGCATCGTTTTGGGTTCAAGCCTTATCTGAAGACCTCAAAACCTATCCGGTGCAAACGGACGGGAGGGGGAAACTTGGGTCCCTGGCCCTTCGACAGTCATCAGCTTACGTAACGATGTTTATTAATGCGTATTGGCAAGACAGTTTCATTTTTGATGCCGAATTACATTTTATTTTACAAGAGTCTACAAGGAGGGCAAGTTTCTTGTCCTTCCCTGCAAACGCATATTACAGACAGGAAATATACTATTCGCGAGTAACTGTTTGTCGACTCCATACAATGGTGCTTAATATCCACGCCAAATGTTAAGCATCTGAATCCATTCAGGCTGACTTGTTCAACCAGAGGAACGTTTTGCACAATTACAACCACATGCACGACAACGGAAATGGCGGTCATAGTGATCTGGTTAGTAAGATGGGGCAAGCGAAACTGCTCAGCCCGTTCTCAGCGAGTATATTGAAAAACGTGACGCGGATTGCCCTATATACTATACGTAAATCAACTGCCACGTGAGGTGAAAATCATCGTCGCGGTTGACATTCCTATCCTGTAAATTATAAAACGATTAAAAACATGGAATAATGTTTGCAGCTATAAAAGGAAAACATACTGAGGAAATTTCGAATGCCAGGTGGTTTGCATTCGTTAAGGTTCGGAGCGTTGCAAAGACAGGAAAATTGGGCCAAATGGTCGCAAGACAATAACCTGTGGGAGTGAAAACCAACGACGCGACACGTCTGGCTACTCAGTTTCTTAATCGTTTCGTTGTTGCCATTTCCTCATGAAATGGCACACAGCCAGGCGCCTAGGCGGACGATCGGGAACTGGGAAATCCTGGAGGTGGTCGGATCAGGTTCTTTCGCGATTGTATGGAAAGCACGTCACCTTACAACAGGCACCTTCGCGGCGGTAAAGGAAATCCTTTCAGACCGTCTCAATAAGAAACTTCATGAATCGCTGGAGTCGGAGATTGCTGCACTTCAGAGACTAAGGCACTCGAACATCGTGGGCCTATTAGACTTGTACAAGGTGAGAGAAGGGGTGAGCCCAGTAAGGACCATGGCGAGTCCTCTCAACACGTCAGCGCCATGGAAACCGCTAGCGCCGTTTTAGAGTCTTTCACGGTAATTGGCCTACTGTTCATTATTCAATGGCTGAGAGTTTTTGTGATGTCCTGCGTTGGAGCGTTCAAGGGTTTTCCACCTTGCTCAAAGCCTGTTATCAGCGTTGCAAAGTGAAATTCAGGCTTCCATCCAAAGACCTTATTATGTTGTTTTATAATCGTAGGAGCCAGGCAAGATATTCCTCGTGCTGGAGTACTGTGCAGGTGAGAGGGATTGTGAATTGCTGACGGTCCCGTCATAGCGCAGCATACATACAGAAACAATGGCACAACAGCTTTTCATTTGGACCACTGTATTTTCATATCTAAATCGATAGGTTTTGGACGCTTAGCCTTCGGCTCAATGTACCGCACTTAGCTGCCCGGGCTTTCCCTCCCCTGCTGTTTCAATCTCAGTTCATCCAAAGGGCAGTGCCAAGCACACAAATCTACGGTACGCATGCGCGCTCGCTCCCGTTTGCGTTCTCACACATGCACGCACGGCCCCCACACATATGTCTTGCTACCCCGCCCCAGCACTTTCACATCCCAACCCCACTTTCCCTTCCCCCGTACCGGACCCCCCCTCTCACACTTCCCCTCAGGTGGCGATCTGGCTCAACACCTGCGTCGACGAGGTCCCCTCAGTGAGGCCTCGTGCCGTTACCTGCTTAGGCAACTGGCAGAGGGGCTCAAGGTACTCAGGCAACACAACGTAATACACGTGAGTGGGGGGGGTTCAAGGGGGGGGGAGGGTCAGGGGGGCCACAACCTCACCACTCAGACCGCATGGCAACAATGGCTCTGTCGATAATGGACCAGAGCTGGAAAAGGGAAGTGGTAGCCACAGCTCTAACCCACGCCCGGCCACATCACGGGCGGCAGTGGCCCCCGGGCCCCGGCTGGAGCCATTTGGTGTCTTGAGTGCATGTATGTTCGTTTGTATGCATGTACGCCGTATGGATGCGACGTGGGATGTGATGGACTGAACATGCCTAGGAGCCCCCGGTCGCAGGTCACTTGCGGGTTCTGTCTCCTCACGGTATCTGCGGACCATGGACTGGACATACCGCCCTCTCGTCCCGCCCACCCACTCGTTCGTGGTTCGTCTTTCCCGCCCACACACCCCCTCTCCCCCCTCTTCCCCCCCTTCCCCTCCCTCTCCCCCCCCTTCCCCCCACACACAGCGCGACCTAAAGCCCCAGAACCTGCTTCTCTCCGACAATGGTTCCTCACCGGCCCTCAAGATCGCGGACTTTGGATTCGCCAGGTCCCTGCAACCGGCAGGTGGGGCCCGGGGGGTGTTGGGGGGATTCTGCAGCTGAGGACGTAACCCGGGATCCGGATCCGGATCCGATCCGGCCCCAGCCTTGTGGGGGAGCAGCGCCTCTACCGCCCGCCGCCCATCTCTTTGTGGTGTTGCCGGAACACAGCGGGGCCCCGTGGCGCACTTGAGCATCGGGCTCGTCTACAACCCCTTCTGCCTACCCCCTACCCTTCCCTACCCCCTACCCTACCCCCTACCCTACCCTACCCCCTACCCTTCCCGCCCACTTTCCCCCACCATCCCCCTTACCTACAGGTTTGGCTGAAACACTGTGTGGCAGCCCCCTCTACATGGCGCCAGGTGCGTGTGATTATGTATGTATGTCTTATGTCTTATGGCTTATGTACGTGCGCTGCCAATAGCTGCTTGAACATTCCTGCCTTCACTCCTAACCGGGGCGGCGGGCCTCCCCTCTCCCCCATTTGCATGCGCTACCCCCCACCACACACACCCTCTGTTACCGGTGGTCCCTCAGAGGTGCTGCAGCTGCACCGGTACGACGCCAAAGCGGATCTGTGGAGTGTGGGAACCATCCTCTTTGAGCTGCTTACAGGTGGGGCCCGGGGGAGGGGTTGAACACTTGCTTGGGCTGCAGCTGCAGATGTCGCTCCAGTTTGCCACCTCGAGAGTATCCCTCCCTCAATGTTACCACCTCCGCGCCCCTCCTCCTCCTCCTCCTCAGCCCTCGGTCCGAACCTCCCCTCGTACCACCCGCCCATTGAAGGTCCCTCTCCCTCTCCCCCGCCCCTTTCTTCCCTCACCGCTGCTACCAGGAAAACCACCCTTCAACGGTGCCAACCACCTCCAACTAATTCAGAACATTGAGAGGGGGGATGCCGTACTGCCTGACCACGTGTCTAGAAGCCTATCCCCGTCATGCAGGTGAGGGCGGGCCCCGAGGAAAGGGGGGAGCCATGTGTTTCGGAGCGGGGTGGGCCGTGTCGCCAAGGCGGGAGGCAAACCGCTACCCACTACTCCGCTTACCTCACCCCCTCACCCCTCCCCGCCCCTACCCCCCTCACCCCCTCACCCCTACCCCCCTCACCCCCTCACCCCTCCCCTCCCCTACCCCCCTCACCCCCTCACTCCCTGCAGGCAGCTGCTCCACCAGCTGCTACGCCGCAACCCCGTGGAGCGGATATCCTTCGACGAGCTGTTCGTACACCCCTTCCTGCTGGGACCTGGGGCAGCGGCAGCGGCAGCTGGAGGGGGAGGGGGAGGGGGAGGGGAGCGGTCAGGTGGCGGGTCCTCCGCACCCCTCCAGGACCCCCAGCAGCAGCAGCAGCAGCTCCCAGCCCAGCCTCTACAGCCGCCCCACTGCCAGAGGGCACACGTACCTGCCTCCCAGGGCGCAGTGCGGTTCCTACAGCCCCCCCCCGCCCGCACCGGCACCAGCCCCCTCCACCCAGCCTTTGTGGTACCACCGGCCCCGCACACAACCAGCAACCAACAACAACATCAACGGTATCAGGGGCAGCAAGGCGGCGTACCAACCGCTGTACCAACTGCAGCCGCCATGGATACTAGTGGGGCAGCTATTACCCCCCCCAGCTATGCCGTACAGCCCCCGGCCCAACCTCAATCCCAGATTCCTGCGAGCGGGGATGTCTCCCGGGGCCCCCTCCCTGGACGGCCGTCTTGCGGCGGCGGTGGGGTGGCTGCTCCCATTCCTGTCCACGAGCTGACTCGCTCCCCCTCCCCCCGCATCATGGCAGCTGCAGCCGCCGTAGCCGCTGCACTGCACGGCCAGGGAACACACACGCCCCTGCCCCCGCCCCCGGCCACGAGCACCGGCGGGGGCCCGGCTGGCGGCGGGGATGGCAGTCGGGGACAGTCGTCTGGCGGGGGTACGACATCAACAGGAAATGGTGGTAGTAGTGGTACGGCGGCAGTAGCAGCTGCAGCCAGTGGCGGCAGTATTCCCCAGCTGGCAGATTCCCTGGACTCGGACTACGTGGTGGTGGCGAGTCCCTCCGCCGCATCACGACCCGCACCGCTGTCTCCGCGCACACCACACCCGGCCATGGCTTGGGGCAGCGGAGGCGCCGGCAGCGGCAAGGGAAGCAGAAATGGCAGCGCCGGCGGTGCGGCGCCGGCGGCAGCGCCGGCGGAAACGCTCGGCGGGGCCGCGGCAGCGCCGTCAGGGCATGATGCCGCTGCAGCGGCAATGGTGCAGGCGATTGGTACGACGGCAGCGCCGCCACCGCCGCCTCCCTTGACTTGGCATCAGCTGCTGTCACCTATCGCTGCCGCAACACTGCCACCGAGCCACCTCGTGCCGCCGTACACTGCGTTGGCCTCCGCCGGTCAAACTCCTCAAACTCCGTACGCCGCGTCAGCCGCTAACAACGGCACCACCGTCACCATCCGTGTCCCCCCTCCCGGCCAATGTACGGCAGGGGACTCGGGAGACGACGCGCTACTACTTCCCCGGGTAGTAGGACTGCTGTTGGACGATGCTCGTACCCGTTGTACTGCATTACTGGACCAGGAGTCGGAAGTACGGCAGCTGGGCGACACGCAAGCAGCGGCCATGGGTGGCCTTGCAGCGCGGGCAGGTGCCGGGGCGGCATACCCATTCCCGGCCTATGCGGCAGCCTCCCCCGCCGGCGGCCGTGTGGGGGGCCCCCCACTCCCCTCCCCCCTGGCGGAGGAGGCGGCGGCCGCTGTGGGTACCCTGCTGGTGGCCGCCAGGCTGCTGCTGGCAGCCCTGAGTGCCTATACAGGCAACCCCGGGGGCGGCGCCCAGGGAGGGCAGGGTGTGGGGGCGGGGGGCCCGGGGGGCGAGGGGGGGGCAGCGGGGAACGACTCCTCCTCCAGAGAAGCCGGGGGCGGCGGTGGCGGCGGCAACGGTGGCGAGGGCGAAGCGGTTTCGGGGCTACACGGCTCGCTGTACGGCGTGGAATCAGCTGGGACCGCCTGCGCGGCCGAGGAGGTGGCGGGGACTTCGGCAGTGCGGGGCTGCAGGAGGGGAGCGGGGAATGGAGAGGAGGCGAACATGCAACACCAGCAGCAGCAGCAGCAGCTCGAGTCATTCTCAGCTGGTTTCAACACCCGTGCCGCAGTGGCCGCCGCGGCAGCACCTGCCCCTCCCCCTTCCGGGGCCCCGGGCCCCTCCCCGGGGGTGTTGGCGGCTCTGGCGCTTCACGCCAGGTCCCTACTGGCTGCGCTGGACGAGCACCTGCATGGCGCTGTGGCGAGGGTGCGTGCGGGTGGGGGGCTGAAGGGGCTGCATGTTGCCATGCGGGGTGGGGGTGGGGGGGTCGGGGTGGGGGGGGGGTCGTTGAGCGGCAGTGATTGGAGGCTCACTGGAGGTCCTCGAGGGGCTCTGAGGGAGGCGGATGTGAGAGGGGGCAGCGGTACCCGCGAATCCCGCTCCTCCAGCTGTACGCCATTCTAGTGTTGACCACGTTGTCCACCTGGAAACCCCCGTGTGTTCCGCTCCCCCCTTCGCACATGATTCCACCCCCCCCCCGAGGCCCCCCTTACCAATGTCTCCCCCCCCCCCCGGCCCCCGTGGGGTACCCCTCCACCCCGCACTGCACACAGCTGCTCCTGAGCGGGGGGGAGGCCGCCGGCGACCAGCTCCAACAGCAGCACCCCCACCGCCCACATGGACATGTGCGGCCGCCGGACAGCGGCATGACACCACCACCACCACCACCACCACCACCACTACAACCGGCAGCAGCAGCAGCAGTCGGAGCGCCACCGGCAGTATCACCGGTGGTGGTGCCGTGCGGTCTGGACGCACTGCTGGCAGCTGCCGTACATCACAGCCGTACCGCCGGGGGCGAGGAGCTGCTTGGCAACACCGCAGGCGCAGTTGACCAGTACGGCAGGGCGGCAGATGTACTGCTGTTTCTGCTGGCGGCTCCGGACCACCAACAGCACTACCGCCAACAGCAGCAACAGCCGCCAGCGCCGTACGGCCCGGACCCCCTGGTGAGGAAGCCAGTGAGCTGAATCTGAATGTGGATCTGGATGTGGGGGTTGTGGCTGCGGCCTTCAATTGAGGCAGCCACTGTGGCGGCCGGGTGCCCGCGTGCTCGAGGGACCTAGGTTGGCACTGCGGGGCTGGAGGTTATGACATGTACGAGCCAGATGGTGCTGTACATGTCGTACGGCACGACCTGGGGCCTAGGACCGTTGGGCCGTGGCTTTATCCTGTCTTGCACCTTGAGGAGTTGGCCGTTGGATCAATCTTGGCCGATACGCCTCTGGTGTGTTTGAAACCGCCGTCCTGCGTGTTGTGCCAGTCCGGACTTGGTCTCTCACCCCACCCACCCACCCACCCCACCCCGCAGCTGGAGTCCATCCGGGCCCCACTAGCTCCCCACGACCGCCAGCGCCTCACCAAGTACTACGCAGCTGTACGGCTGAGACAGTCGGCGTTACTGGCCACGTTGGGCCCAACAGCAACAGGGCCGGGGGGGGTGCTTCCGCCCTCCTTCCACAACCACCCTTCTCTGGGGCTAGTGCAGCCCTATCCCCCAGGACCCCAGATTCCCCCCTCCATCCCCCTCTCCAGCCTGGGGGGCCCCCAGCCCCCGGCCGGTATCACTGCCCGGGCGGAACCTCCGCACCCGGCGGCGGCGGCGGCGGCGGCGGGGTTGGGGCTGATGCCTCCGGAGCCCTATCCGGGTTCCAACCCCGTCTGGCACCAGACATACATACAGGCCGTCAGTAAGGTTTCGGAACCCCTGGGTGCCGGAGCGGGAGTGGGAGCGGGGCCTGCCGGAGAGTTGGGTGAGGGTCAGGCGGGGGCCGGTCCGTACGGGTACGGCAGGCAAACAGGGTGCGCTGCGATTGTGTTTTAAAGGCGCTCACCGTTTGTTGCTTTGAAGGGGCCTTATTTCGGTTTTGAGGTTTGTGACGGAGTTGTAGCAGTAGTAGCAGCAGCAGGGGGAGGAGGAGGAGGAGGAGTGCTGTCGGTGTTTAAATTCTCGGACCACATCTTGGTGGCTGCTGACCAGTTTGTAAAGGCGGTGACTGCGGATGTGCGATTCGGGTATTGGGATGGAGGAGGAAGAGAGGTGTTCGCCAAGCCCACCTCCGAAATGGATTAGGAGTGTACGTGTGTATGCATGTATGTATGTATGTTTGTAGGGGATTTCAAGACGGAAACCTTGGGGGAAATGAGGAGAAGCAGTTTGATAACTTAGGGTAATTAAGGTCTGTGTTTTCTTGTGTGGGAATGATTGCTCCCCCTTCAACAGGGTCATGTGTAGGGTTCTCCCCCGCGCATGAGTCGCGGGGCCACGTGCCCCTCCCCGGCCCCCCCCGCATTCCCGGGGAGGTGGGTGGGATGGGGAGGTGTCACGGGGCGCTTCACAATGTCGCTAGGTGGTGATGCCCCGGAGAACGGGGGGGGACTGGCGGCGGTTTGCGGAGGGGGGGGCCCCACTGAGGTGGTACGGGACCCCCGGAGGGGATTAGAGGGGCTGGGTGGGCCTTACTTGGGGTCGCCGTATCGCGCTGCTGGTGCCCCCTCCCTCCCCCCCCAGTAAGACTGTATGCATGTATGTCAGTCGGCCTTACCTTGAATGACCAGAGCGTACCTGAGCTGAATCCCCATCAGTTTTGCAATTCTGCGCCCTGCTTGTCTGTATGTATATCTGTCTCTCTGTATATTTGTCATGTATGTACGTCAGGGTTTTCGGGCCAAAGCTTTCTCGTGGTGGAGTCCCCCTGCCTCCCTGCGCGTGTGCAGTACTTGGGGGGTTATGTGTGTTGTACGACGTAATGTCTGTACGTCATGAGACGAAGGGAGATGAAGGGGGGAGGTGGTAGGGGAGTGCGCTGCCCCCCCGCTACCCGCCCGCACGCCACCGGAAGGCCGCGTGCTTTGAGCCACCCACCCACCCACCCTGTCCATGTGGGGTGCAGGGGGAGGAGGGAATAGAAGTTGCACGGCAGCTTGTGTAATCCAGGACGAGGGGGTGGGCTGCACACGTGTTGTTGATGTACGTTTGTCTGTCTGTCCGGTGCCACAGAGCTGCAACCCCGAAGGAGAGGGAGGGGGAGTGTGAGGGGCACCCGAGGGCCGCGCGGCGGAAGGGAACCTTGAGAGGTGCAGCCGTCTATCTGTGGAGTGAGTGTATGTGTGTGTGAGAGAGGGAGGGAGGG